ACTTTGCACATTGTAGTTCTTTTCACGCTGCATCTCCTGGTATATTTTGTTTTTCTAAAACAACTTATTAAGTGATGCAAAAATGAAATGGAAAAAGGGCGTTTTTTTTGTCCGAGAGAGATTATATGGCTCAAAGCAAAGTAGATGCTTATTTAACAAGATAGGTCAAAAAAGATGTACTTTTTGGGCATCCATTTTGGTCGATTCACTTCTCCCTTTTTCTCATCATGCCAATAGCATGGGATAGCTGTTGCTATTGTTTACTCAACGATGTGCTCAAAGAAAACAAATCAAGTTTTAGTATGGCGTTAAATCCTCTTTCTCCATCACACGGTTACTAGACTAATTGAACAGCCCTATACAAAGAGATGGACTTTCGGCACATCAGAGTACATGGTTGACATATTCGACAGGCTAGTACTCTATTTATAAAGTTATTTCATCAGTGGCTCTTCTGGAATCGTTGGGGGGGGGGGGGGGGGGGGGGAAGAGGTCAAGCTATAAATAGCGAAAGAATGCATATGCTCTGCAATCTGTATGTGTCATTGGTTTTGTCGATGATTGTGAGCAACAGCAAGTATTCAGCGATTTGTTGTCTCATATGCAAAGAGCGACTGCGAATCAATCTTTCAAGTTCTTCACTCTTCATCGAAACGGTAGCAGAGAGTTGCGAAAAGAAATGAAGGAGAAATTCTCTCCCAGACTGTCCGATTCAACATGACAGACAAATTCAAAGTTCAATCTAGCATTACAGACCGTGACAGATATTTCGAAGTATTATCCGTTTGTCTCTACTGGATCTTATGATAAATGCGGTTGAGTTCGCGCTTGAGAGTCAGATAACTTCATCATATTTCAGGGTGTGGGTGTGGATCTGAATTCTCTCTTCACGTACTCACACCCACATCCATAAGGTGGTAGAGGGTGGTACATGGTGTTACATGAATTATAGAATTCTAGGTTTTTTCCGGGTATACATGTTATTATATGGATACATGTGCCCGATACAAGATGATACAAAGGGGTACAAGGTAGTACATAGCTAAGTGTGAACCGAGTGATACAAGTTGTACTTATACACGCGCAGCCCTCATCCACACCCACCCATATACCCAACTCACACCCTTATGTTTTCTAATTATTTTTATACATATTCAATTTGTTTTACTTTCTTTTTTTATCTTTGAGATGCCTATATTTTGATGATTTTTGCTTCTCTCGGTTTCAAGCACACGTGGTTAGATAAGCATCGAGCATATATTTACTTTCTTTAATACGCACATGATGTTCTTTTTATAGACAGTTGAGGAACAACGAAGCAATCTACTGCTTTTCGACTTTAACGAGCTGAGGTTGACATATGAAAAGTAGATAACAAAAAACAAAACATTTAACCGCTTGTTGTTTTTTTATATCACCTTATGCTTGAAATTATTTCCAGTAAAAAAGTGTGCGTCATTCACTGACATTTGAAGACAGAAAAGGTTTTTTCCTAGTATGTGAATATGTGAAGAAGTAAACAAATTAAATTTTCAGAGTATATTTCATGAATAGACGAAAAATGCTTCAACAACAATTAGATGGTATGGAACTATGTCAAGATATTGATATGATAGTAAGTATATTTTCTAATTATAAAAATAAAATTTTGATGCATACATTCAAAATTTTATTAACATTATGATCAATGAAACTTGTTGAAATCTCATTTTACAAAATCGAATTAGAATATTAAGAGCGAAAAATAAGTGTTTGTTATATACAGGGTGTTTCATAAGTCTTGGGATGCGACGAAATTCGTTTACATGGACACGCAGAAGAATGTCTAATAGTTATGTTTCTATATCAGCTTCGAGCGCTTCTATCGGTCTGTCAAATAATATATTATTGAATAACATTTTCCCTTATTATAGTAAAACAATTTGATGATGGATTTTTCGAAATCGATCAACATGATGCAGAGTGTATTTTGCTCATGTTTCGGGCTAGGTAAATGATAAAATCTTGTTCTTTTTTAAAGATACGTCATGGAAAGCTCTACAAAACCTGTACAAATAGACCTCAATTGCAACACAAAAATGTCTTCGAATATTCCCAATATAATGGACAGTAGTACCATCATGAAGATGGTTCATTTTGAGAATGAAGTAGGCCATCAGAACAAGTCAGTAAGAATTTGTTCAGACATTTTTTGTAGAGCTTTTCACTGGTTATCTTTAAAAAAAATGAAGATTGTATCATTTACCCACTCGGAAACATGGGCGAAATGGATCCTGCATCATGTTGATCGATTTCGAAAAATCTCTCATCAAATTGTTTTATTATAATAAGGTAAGATCTTATTCAGTAATATGCCATTTGAAAGATCGAAATAAGTACTCGAAGCTGATACAGAAACATAATGGTTAGATATTGTTCTGTGTCCATGCAAACGAATTTCGTCGCATCGCAAGACTTATGAAACACCCTGTACAGATATTTTCATTAAGCATCGTCTATAGAAATAATCCTACCATGATACATTCTATATCATCTTATGTAAAAATGCCATTGTAATCAACGAAAGCGTTTACTATCTTTTGTTCGATTTGAATCAGAGATGGTACAAATCAAAGACTTTCTATCGGACTTGTCTCGCAAAAGAAATGATTTTTTTCTTCAATCCGTCGATCATTTAATGGTTTTGAAGAGTTATTAACCCATCATGAGCTGCCCGAGATTTAATGTGATTATTATTAGTTAAATATTTAGTAATAAAATCATGAATTGCTTCTATTGAAGTATTCGTTTTTTTTAACTGTTATTGAAACTAAAATTTGCATAGTAACTAGAACATTATCATTTATTTCTGAATATATTCATAAGCCTTACCGAATTTCAATTAAGCAAAGATAACAACTAATTAAGCATAAGTAAGAATCTATGTTCACATAGTAGATATAACTTTGAATAGAATAACAATGGTAACAAATGTGCAAAAAACAATCGAAAAATAACTAGATTATACGTAATCCATTCTAATTTTGTATACATTGAACGAAATAATAATATAACATTCAATAAACTTTGTTTGGTACGAGTGTAGATGTTGATTTAAGTATGTATGTGTCATACGGTGCGTCTAAAAGAAAATCCATACTGAAACCGCATTCATGTTTACATGCTTGAAACAAAGAAGGTTAATGACTAAAACTAATATGTGTTGAGAACAAATGATAGAAAAAAATCTCGGTTGTGAACAACGAACAGAGTCGTAGAAGAAACCAAATCAGTAGAAGAATGAAGAAATGGAATTAATAATAATGAGTGTAACTGTATTCAAAATAACAAAAATGGAGGATGAATACGATGAAACACAAAACATTTAAACAGGTTGAATCAAAATAAGTCAGTCCGTCATGTCTCTTACCTTAACAGCTAGATTTTTGAAAATCAATAAATATATGAGCAAAGTTCCACTAGGATTCTATTCATTGTTCATTTAGGATAATGATGACGACCAGTATTACAGTGATGTTTCCGAAATTGATGCTGAAATCATCGATTCAGCACCTTGTAAGTAGATTGTCTTTTTATTTATTACAAAAGAGAAGATCAACTTACTGACTATTATATTATCTTGCAGTTCCTGATGAATGTCAGAATGTAATTACTGGTATTGAATCTTTTTATCGATGTTTTACACGACGTTATGAGGCTTGTCCTGTATTTTTTATGGGTTCTCTTCAAGATGCATGTCGAGAAGCTTTTACTTCAACAGTAATTAAAGAAGTTCGTTCGCATTTACTTTTATGATTATTCAAAACAAAAAGTATTTTAATTTAGCGTCGACCTGTACTTGTCTATATACACAATGATAAAAGTATGACTAATAACATATTTTGTCGTCAAATATTCTGTTCGACAACTATAAGCGATTATTTGCTTGAAAATTATATTGTATGGCCATGGGATGTTACTTTACAATCGAATAGAAATATGTACGTCATCTATCATCTGTTAACATATTAAGCCTCCCCCACAATCGATTTCCTGTTTAGAATAGTTCCTTTGGGCTGAAATTTTCAGAAATGACTGGTCCTAGTGAGAAATGCTTCTGGTAAAACTTTCAGCACAATACATCAAATTAATGGCCTCGTCAGAATACAAGAGGGTGGGTGTAAGCGCAATAACTCGATAACGGCAATAGTTAGCGACCTGTAGTTTTCACCAATTTAAACAGGAGAAGTTGGCATATCTTTTTCTCCGATAATGTATCAGATGAAATTCTTTTAAAACTAATCATCTTCGAAAAACATGCAAAAGAATGCATGAAAATGACCTGCCATCTAGATGAAATTTTGACTTTGACCTTTGATCTAGATAGAGAGGCTACAGATCTATAGTTCAAGATACAATGCAAGTGCTTCTCTTATTACATCCTAACGTTGAGTAAATGGGATCATGTATTTACATGCGCAAATAATAGGGAATTTTGCTGATTTTTTACTTAGCTTTCGCACTTTTTATCATAATAGCTTGACATTGTGATGAAAATGTAATGAAAAGTGAGAAAGCGCATTGTATCTTGAACTATAGATCTGAAGCCCCTCTATCTAAATTAAAGGTCAAAATCAAAATTTCATCTAGATGGCAGGTCATTTTCATAGATTATTTTGCATCTTTTTCGAAGATGATTAGTTTTAAAAGAACTTCGTCGTATACATTATCGGAGAAAAAAGGGATGCCAACTTCTCCTGTTTCAACTGGTGAAAACTGCAGGTCGCTAACTATTGCCGCTTTCGAGTTATTGCGCTTACCACCACCCCTCTTTTATTCTGGCGTGGACAATTAGACGGAATTTCTGGCTTATTCATAGTCCATTTTTAGTCTCCAACAGAATCCTTATATCATTCTTAATACAAGAGATAGAGAGCTCTGGGTGGTCGCAAATGAAAGCCAACTTCAGTGTGCAGTTTTTCATCAGACAGAATTTTCAAATTCACTTCGATTCATTTTTTATGATCATTTTAGTACATATGGGGTCATAATAATAATAAAAACATGCCATTTCGTGACATTAAATCTCGCTTTTCTCAACAAAGAAATCAACTTTAAAAAATCTGGTCCGTGAAAATTTTACTCTCACTTGGACCCTTAACGCAAAAAAAATGTTGGTTATAGCTCGAGCTGGGATGAGACTTATTTTCATTTTCCTGATTAAAAGTCATGTTTTTGAGAAAAATGGTAAATAAAATTTAGAAACGAATTTTTTCATTCAAATGTAGAAAAGAATGATATAGTGATAATTTCATCTGGAATTTTTTAAAGTCTGTAACAGATAGCACAATCTAGCACCACGGTCGTACTATATCATATAGGATTGTTTATTTCATGCTGATAGAAATAAAAAATAGTCTTCCTAAAAATCACAAAATCCGAAAAAACCTCTCCAAAAATAGGGTATGGCAGTAGCTATCTCGTACGATAGTTTGTTAACATTTGGCCTTCTTTAAAAAATGTATATACATGCTGAAAGAGGAGACTTTACTGCATCTTCCTATAATAAAGACTCGACCTCAATTACTTTCCCAAAACAGGGATTTTTCGGAAGGGAAGGGAGTCCTTAAGTGAATAATTTAAAATCTATTTATCATCATCTAAAATATGTATTCAATAGCACACTCGTTTTTTCATTTATTTTGATTCTTTCTCGGAACAAAATCAAATTTTTTGAAATGACATATGTATTTTATTTAATAAGGAAAATATTTTCTTTTTCAATTAGATTGAAAAATGTTTGGAAAGAAATGTTCTCGATGGAACTATCGGACAACTTCGAAATAGAACAGTATCCAATTCTATTTGGGATCATGCGACTTTTTGAAGAGAAAATAAATGATTCGTTAAAATCCCAATATCTATGCAAACAATTGCTTCAAGGTGATACTTTAATACGAACGCAAGAAAAATCTACTAAAGAAAATGTTGTTAATGCATTGGCTCATTTCAAAAAAGAATGTGATAAGAATGAACAAAACTTAGTGAGTTCTTTTTCCTTTATATATTATACTAAAAAAAGGAAGCAATTCTGAGAAATCAAACAAATCAATAAACAACTCTTTTTCCATTTGCTGTTTCTTTATTCCGTTTCAGTCATTTGACTTCATTTCCAAGACTAGTTGTTGGAATATTATTCTTGAAATACTCAAATATCTTACATTAAATGATATAATCAATTTATTTTCTCCAAATATTCTTCCTTTACTACATCAATATAAAACAAGAGTTGAAATTTGCGATTCTTCCAGCACATTTATTACTATGATTTTGCGAACTCTTCAAATTGAACAAATAGTTTCCTTACGTCTCAATACAATATCGTCTCGAACACAGTCAGAATTGGACTTATTATTTAGTTTTACTAATATCATTTCATTAAATCTTATCAATTTTCATGAAGTACATTTAGTGGAAAAATACACAAGAAATTTTCCTAAATTGATGCGTATTTCTCTTTGGTATGATAATGAAGTTAATTTTAATTTTTTGAGTAACATCTTTAATTACTTCAATCACTCAATCAAACGATTTGAAATTCATTGTCCAGCATTAGTTTGTATTCATTCTTATCTAGCTTCATACAACTTAGAATTTTGGAAAAACTTTTCAATCGAATATTTTCTTCTTGATATGAGTAAATTCTCATTACCTTCAATAAACGATTGCTCGAAACAGCACCAGTCATGTATTTTGATGGCAACAATAAATTTCATCGCAACTATGTATAATATTCAATATGTTCGATTAATTACTAATGAACACAATATACAGAATTTATTAAATTCAAATGAATGGAGAAAACTGAAAACTAATTGTAGTATGTTGAAGACAATAACCTTGAACGCATTGGGAAATATAGTACTAGATCAAGAATCAATAGAGCAAATAACAGAAATTCAAGAGACATTACAGCATGAAATCAAATTTCAAGTTAGATCAATGTGATTGATTGCATTTTATTGTTTCAATTGATATTTATCGTTTTTAACAATTGTTCTAATCGTATTTTTTTTTGTCATGAGATAAATAAAAATTAAAAGAAAACCTGCTAAACTGAAGAACTTTTTTCTTTTCCATCTATATTGGATCGGTTTTCGTATGAACATTTCGATGAGGCTTACATTCATAGCATATTCATTTTGATCTTGTAGAATTTTATTTAATTTCTTTTGGTTTCGTTTCGATCATCAAGGTTTTCTTCTTTGTTTTTATGTCTGATTTGTTTGTCTCCATTGATAAAAATATGAGTGCACGTGTTGTGGGTTATTCTCGACTGTCGAGAGTTTCGAAAGGAAAATGAAGAAAAATAAACAACAAAAGTAATAGAATTATAGGGCTGGATATTGTTGAATAAACTACTCACATCATTTCTTAAAACCAAGTATTTTTGATCAAATGCAAATATTTTTCTGTTGACTATTAATATCCGCTTCGTACTACTGTTGGTTAAATGTGAGAACGGGATCAAATTAGATGGATCTCCTTGACTCATTCTAGAGACCTGCGGAGGACTCCAAAGGAGTCGGGGTCGGAGTCGTGTTTGCTGAAAAAAAATTTTCGGGTTCGGAGTCGGAGTCAGTTACAAGTTCGACTCCGATATTTTTTTTTCGATTTACCAAAACTTAATTTTTAACATTAGTAAATAGAAAAATAAAGTGTAATATCTGTCACATAGATTTATATCACTTGCAGGACAGAAAGATGAGCGAATCACTTTCCAGTTATAACACTCGAATGATCAAGTGAGATGGAAACATAACAACATTAGTCAAAAAAGATATATTAATGTCATTCAAAGTACTATGACTATCTTCATCATTAGTTCTTCCTTGTCTAGACGAAGAACATCCAAGGTCGGTAAAATCAGTAACAGAAACGCGTTTTTGGGAGCAAAACTGTGGATTTTTTACACATTAAAAAAGGTTTTTTTGAGGGGAAAAAGCGACTTTGAAGATGATAACATCCATAAACTGTTTTTTTTAAAGAGAAACTTGAGATTTTAAGTGTAAAACGTGTGCATGTTAAGGCATTAAAGAGTTCTTTGGCTGCTGAGAACGCTTTATTTTTAAATGACATTGTTAAAAAATGTCGGAGTTTTTCGGAGTCGGAATCGGAGTTGGAATCGGAGTCAGAAAAAGAAACATTTCGGAATCGGAGTCGGAGTCGGAGTCGGAAGAAAGAAATTTTTCGGAGTCGGAATCGGGTTTCGGAATGAAAAAAGTTGACTCCGCAGGTCTCTAACTCATTCATCTCTCCGTCCTAGACAATCTCATAACGTATGAACATAAAACTACTTCTATTCTTCATAGAAAATGTGACTGATCATTGCAAACACTACTCGTTCAAAAGGCGTAGCTGCGTATGCCAGTGTGGTTGTGGGTGCGAGTGGATCCGGTTATTTAGAATCACCTTTAATCGGTCCACACCCTTTCTTCGGATTTTTCGAGGATTTTTTAGACTATTTTCATTAATAGGATTAAAAATCGATAGACTCTTTGCTCAATTGAGTAATGCATTACAGAGGGTATCCTTTTATAGAGTTCAAAATCGTGATAGAATATAGTTCGTCCGTTATATGTAGGGGCTTACTAAATCGGCTTTCTGCCAAGTCCAAATATGAGATGTGTGTGGATTTGAATGAGGATTGAAGGAATTTGAGTATTTTGACTTGGACTTTACTGGATCGGTCCTTGATTTCCTTAGTAATTTTGCGTCATAGTGTATCAGGGTGGATTAATTCGCGTGGTTTATTA